TTTATCACGGGTAATGAAAAATGTATTACATGAGATAATTGTCTGCAAATAAAAAACGAAACCAAAAAAATATGTATACTTCGTGGTCAAAGGTAAAGCCAAAGACTGCCAACAAGATTATGACATATAAGCCAACAGAAAGACGTCGTTTTCCAGCATGGCGATGCCAGACCACCTACGTCTTACCTACTTGGCAAAAGTTGAGAGAACTTGGAATGGCAAGTGCAACAATCGGGGAAACCCGATTGTTGCACTATCAGATTGTCATCTGTTTCTTCTTCTTCTAATACTTCTTAGATACTTTCTTTTTAGAGAGCTTTTTAATAATATTGATTTAGTTCCAATGAGAGAATGCAAAGGTCACTTGTTTTCTTCATAATTTTTCGCCCGGAGATCGTGGGGGTTTTACAGTATGGCAAGAGGGTATTGCCAGTATTGCCGTAGAAACGGCAGAACGCCATCGGCGTACGCTTAGCTTAGTAGTACTATTTGAAACTATCAAAAATGTTTGCTTTAATTTTTCGATATGCAAATATAAGGTTTGTTTTTTACACAAAAATAGTGTATTTTCGAGACTCGAAACAATGATCCCCCTCCGATCTCTTTCAGCAAGCAACTTGGACGTCGAGGCTCGCCCGTCAAATATATAAATCTACTATCCGTTTCCTGCATTTCTCCGCTTTCCATTGTGATCAAGCTTCATGATTCATTTGCTTTCGTATCTAGGCTATTTCTTCCTTTGGTCCCATCGTATTGCTGACCGTCGGCTCCCCCTTCCATTCTACTCAATCCAATTCAGTGTTTACTACTCTATATCTATTCTATATCAAACAGATGCAGCCAGTGAAGTGATGCATACAAAGCAAACTTTGCTTTACTATTGGCGAAAAGGAAAAAAAAAAATATTTATCCATTGTGTTCTGGTTTATGGTGGAAATCGTGGATCGAACAGAACCCGGCTAGCCCTATTTCTTTATAACGCTTTTGGTTATTACTATGATCATTATTGTGTGAGCGAGTTCTCGGAATCGGTATAGTCTGAAGGACTTTCCCTACTGAAAGTTCTAACTGTAGTCCGATTAGTGTGAGTATCGTTATTCCTGGACCTCAGGCGGGCCCTTAATTTGAGATTCGTCTTGTTTGTAGTGTAACATGTTGCATCGGATTAAGGGCTCGACACAAAGCCTCTACTGGGTTCGAATAAGGCATTTAAAGGAAATCTGATGTTCAGCATCTGACCTTTTAGCTATTCGGTGAACTCCGTCATAATACGAGTATTTCAATGAACGAGCGCCGGGATGAACTGGGAACGTAATATAAATAAATGGCTATTGTTAAGGATGAGAGGACCTGAACATGGTCTCAAACTAGTCGACAAACAATGGAACACTTTCCATTGAAGATAGCATTGTCAGGGGTTGCTTCTTGCCTGGGGTCGGCTAATAGACCCATTCCTTTCAGTCAAGGTGCTTAAAATGAGCACAACTCCAAGCTCTGGGTAGAAATTTTCCCCCATAATATTCTAGCCGCCTAGACCGAGCCCGCATACGCAGTGGGTCGTTACCTATCCCACACAAGTATTGCTATTATCGGAATTAGTTAGGCGCCTTTTACGTTATATTAAATAAGGTAAATTTCTAAATATAAGCCAATTAGAATATTATTTCTAAAAAAAATCGCTTTAACACGTACCAAACGCAGTTGGGCGAGCAGAAAACACAGACCGTCTTTGGTATTCCTTCAGGTGCTCTAAGCATTGTGGTAATAAGTTCGGGCCGGCATCGCCAAAAAAGACTGGCCGGTAGCTACGAGAATACTATGAGACAAACCATGATAGTCAGGCGCCGGAATTTTCGATACCCTGCTTCAATATTCAGTTAATGTCTTTTTTCACCTTTTTCGATATATATATTCTGAAATTAGGTCCCCTTAATTATCACGTTACCGGTAGACACTTCTATCCGGAAGGAGCCTATGAACATCATAGGCCAGATGTCTATGACTGCATCCACTGCTTGGCTTCGCTACTTGCCTATCGCTATACCTGACTAACAGAAGGGATAACTCCAATTAGAATAAAATGTGTCAACTCGAAATGTCAGGAAAAAATACAAAAATTGAGTCGGCTAAACAGCCGTTAGCTGTCATTTTGATGTTAATTATATCCAGGCTAGTTCATGCGTTACTCAGGCGTCTGTGGGTAGAGGGATGTTCTTCCAGAGGAGTCCACTGTCGTTTTCGACTGATCACTTCGAACTGTCGTCGGCGCTTGAAAAATACATAATCTAATGTTAGGCGTCTAATAACAATGATCGTAAAGGTCATTGTTAAGTTTTATAGGGTCTCATAAATCATTGAGAGCGAGCTTAGCAAAGCTACTTCGTTACCTGATGAACTTAATTAAAATTGGTCAGCCAATAATACACTTGTAATGGTAAGGTTATTTCATAATTGCCTCCTTGCTTATTGATTATATAATTGCAGACCTATCTTAATTAAAAAAGAAATTTTTTTAAACACACACACATCGATATAGTACACAACGAGGGAAAAGGTAAGTTTCTCACGCCCCTTACTGATACCAATAGGAACTGATACTGTGGTTAAGTATAGGGTATTAGCTCGTTAGTGATTTAGGAGGCGGAAAACATCAATTATTCACAGTTGTGTATCACTTCAACATATAACAATCGTAACAAAAAGAAACATATAAAAAGTAATAATAATAATCGTAATTATTATTATTACCTAAAATTTAAGTAATCTTAAGCAGGTTAGTTAAACAGAATTTAAGCTATACTTCGGGCTAGCTTTGTAACACCGCTAAACCAACTGTAAAATGGGAGACACATACATTAAATAGAGACAAAAGTACGTTGTACATTGTATCCTCAAGGTCGATGCAATGTATATCCTAGTACTATCGTTATTAAATTTAAAAGTGCTACCTATAAGAACTTCCCTACGAGACGGAACACCAGTTGCCCTCAAGAAACATTCATTATGGGAACTTCGAGTACTTTTGTTCTGAAGAGTTTAACGACAGAACCACTAGGAAAAAATTTTTTACTCAATTTATTCGACTTGGTCAACGACTTCCGCTGCTGCTCATTCGGTGGTTGTTGTTGCAGGCGAAAAAATCTGGCATTAAGTTCTAGCGAGAAGTCTATCTTCAAATTTCATAAAAGGGAGAGAGGGGACAGGGGTTGGAATTTGCGTGACAGAAACAGCAAAGGGTGATCCATAGGAGTTAGCTAGTAAGACTATTATTGCATGTGAGTAGTGACCGGCTGAAGGACAAAAGCACACTTTCATCACTATTGACTCTACATGCACCTATATGGTATATTGTATGAAAAAGATAGTTCCTTTCCTAATAACTAAGAACGTATGGAACATGAACGAAAACAGAAAAGTAACGGCGGATAATGACTTCACCGATGGTAATCTTATCAAAACTCATTTGGAGATATAGGTGAACAAAGTGGAAGTATAATGAATTATAAATTGTGCCCCGAATTTTCTACAAGTATAGAAATTCAGAGATAACTATCTAGACAAAAATTATAACGGCACGAATTCTGATCAGGGTTGCTCTTTATGTTACGTCTCTGTTAGAAAATACAAAGAGTTGTGTAACTTCCACACTGTACGCGATACGATAACGATTAAGTTATGGGGGGATGGATTGGCCTCACGTCCATGAAATAGCTACCGCTGACGCCCTCTATATACTATTAGACAGAACATACTGTATTATGCACCTTCGATTTAGTCGTCGCCATAATGGTTTATAGGTTCGATTTCAATGGTCCATTTTCTCTATAATGCCCCCCCCCCCCTTCCTTCTCTATCCGTCTAATAAATTATAATGCCACGATTCGAACATTCATTAATCAGGCGAATTATCAGCATAAGTAATATAGAGCTTTCTATGAATGGGGTTCGTATAACTGCTATCCACCGACCCAAGCTGGTTCCATTTCGCCTATGTAAATCATCGTTTTAGAGAATTCTCACGAAATTAGATTCCTTTAAAAAAGTGTGGTATCGTATGAGTCATAGTCGAGTGTTTTTTTATTCTCTTATAATAGTAAATTCATTACAGTGTTAGTATGTTTTTATTTCTGTCCAAATAAACGAGACATTACTGTTTTTCCGCTGTTTTCTGCTACGTATGTATACAGTATGACTGCATATATCGATTCACTGCCACACTGCGTGACAGCCCTTTTTCAGATCCTCTGTATTTTTTACCTCCCTGTCTCGTATCCACACATTGAATTCAAAGGGCTTACGAGCTCTCTTCGTTTCACTACATCGGGGCCCCACTGGGCCCCTAACTCATCGACTTCTACAATACAGTTTCTACAGAAGATTCCGCGCGCCCGTTTGTGGACTCATTGTCTGTTGAAAACATTGTTTTACTTCTTATCCAAGATTCGTCAGCCGGGATAATCCGCGCCGATCGCTTCGAGTCAGTAGCTGCTCACGCGTTTGCTTTCGGAGCGTCCTATGGGCCCTGCCGAAACGCGACAATTTACGTGAATGTCGCGTTACACCGGCCGACGATGCGATCCGCACGTGCGTTTCCTATCGACTGTCTCTATCTATAGGTGTATTTCTTCTCGCGTTGGAACCAACGGCAGCAGCGAAGGCTGTCAGTACGACAACACTGCTAGGGATGATGGCTATGGGTCTAGTGGTGTGTTTCATACGGCTGACTTCGTCTTATGGTTCTCGCCCTGACGTGGTCATTACGATCGGGGACGTCAGGGGAGGAGAGTCCCATTGGCTTTGCCTTTTGGTACGGCAAGCGTACTTTCCTTGGTTTTACAGATCCTATACTTAGTTAATACACAGTGATAGGCGACCAGAACTGGAGAGAAGGCGGGATTCCTCTCTCTCTTATTCTGAGCTGTGAAAAAATTACCTTAGACAATTGGATAACAATAGTATGGTTGGTGGTACATGCCCGCTGGGTCTATCGTTTTTGAAAACCGATTTATTCATTGTTAGATACACGGTCGGGTAGTAGCAGTGTCGCTTTCCTTCCTTGTCAGCTAACAGGACAGTCTCTCCTAACTTGTGAATTGTTTACAGCTGGGTTTTCCGGCTTTGAACTGCTCGTTCCTGTTAAAAAGGATTACAACAACCTTTGAAAAGGATACACAACAGCCGAAATTCGACGTAGAACGCAGCTATCGCAATTCACGCGATCTGAAGTTTGATCGATACTTGTCCGTTTCTAGGTGCTACATAACTCGATTTTTTTACTCATTTTGTACGACGAACTGCTGTGAAAGGTTGTGCAAAGTAAAGCGAAAAGAGTACGATAAATATTGATATCTGAGGGATCTTTTCTACGTAAACGCCTGTGCCTACGCTGGAAGTTAACGGTGAACACATGGCGACTAAAGGATGGCAATAGTTCGCCTTTGAATGTAGATTACGGGCGAGCTACGAGTGTGAGCAGGTCAACACGTACTACCAGTTAACGATCGTTCTTGATCAGCTCTACGTATAAGATGTTTCCAGTAACCAGAAGTCAGACAGCTGCGGACTCCAAACCCCAAAAATGGATGCGGAGGTTTACGGAGCTACTACCTGAAAGAATACGCAGTATGTCGACGCCTGCCACGCTTATCCAATCACAGATTCAGGCCTATATTGCTCGGAAAAGGTACAAACATATGAAGAAAGCGGGTGAGTTGAAGCATCACTGCCTGATCACATCGCACAGTTACGGATAGACCTTGGATCACTAACATGAATCGTGGATCATTATCTAGATACGCTACACGCAACAAGTAACTAATGAAACGCGTTTTTGTGACTAAAATGAAAGAGCGGTTTGTCTTGGTCGAAAGCCAGTGCCCACTACGCAATCGAAGTAATAATATTACCATAACCAATTCCATTACGCGAGCACGTATTCTTTCCCATCGATTTTTGTTGGTGTCATCATTAAGCTACGAATTTTCACCATTTCAAACGATCCGGATTTGTCGATCTACAATTCGGTTCGGACCTTCACCGGCAAAATAAACAATTCAGCCAGTCAACGTGTGAACTAAAAGACACTCATCAGAAAAAAACACGCTAGAAAAATTAGGAAAGCAAACCGGGTATAGATTACTGAAGAGGGGAAAGAGCTGAGCTTGAGGCGCCCTAATGATGTGAACGTCTCTGGGTAAACTCATAGTCGGAAGGAATACGACTGGACGAGATAGACCTGAAAGCTCTACACGAAAGTTCCATTGTATCCAGATAATGCTGGAGAACCGTAAGCTGCGCACGTCCTCTTGTTACCCATATCTTAACCTGAATTGGCTATACACCTGAAACTAGGAAAGGCTCTTAATTAAATTGTTGTCTATAAGACTTGTAAAATGAAATCACTTTATTTCGAGGTCTTACTAGCCCAGCTAATCCTTTCTGGTATAGCTATTGAAATTTCAATACGAAACTCTCGCATGCTCTAAATTCTGGATCTGTAAGAAGGAATAGTCATTGTCGAATCAGATTTGCTGTACGTTCAATTTCGGTTTGAAATGTTAGTAGTGATAGGCTCCAGCGAAAAGGCAAAGACTTCAATTTTGATAGAAGAAACGTGGTACGTGGACATGGAATTTATCTGCTAAATATGACTGCTTGCGTTATTACCTTTGAATTTTTTCATCGTCTTCTAAAAAGCCCACGGGAACGTATTTGATCTTAGGGCAAATACATAATAGGATCGAAGGGAGCGATCTTCGACAAGGTATCGTTAGTTTCAGCTTGGCAGTAATACTTTTATAGCAACTATTATGTCTTGGTTAAGTGAGTCTGACGTTGTTTAATATAGCTTCGAAGTAATAACAGGGGCTAGTTATTATGATGATACTAAACTAATAGAGAAGACACAGCTGATGGGCGGTGCTTAAACATATTACCCTATCTGAAAATTTTTAAAAATGTACCTAATTTCGCAACCTACACATTCGAACAGTGATCAATCAAGTTGATCCTCTATTGATATGTTCATTTCTCAAGTAGATAATTATACGAATTTCAATAACTTGTTTAAGAATAGATGTGAACCCACAGACGTCAGCATTGTCTGAACGCTCAAAGGAAACGGGCGTGTAGCGTCATCTAGCATAACCGCTCGATGACGAAGACCACTTACTTTGTTCTCGGTAGTATTGTTTGGCTGAATCGTTTAGCTCATAAAATGCTAATGAAGGTCAAACATTAAACATTGGTACGCGCCTTGAGCTATGTTAGAAGATCCTCCTTTAATGGTCATCTAAGCAAAAAGTGTCTAGTATCAGCCTATTGTAGGGCAGAGCAACTGGAACAAGCGGGCTATTTAGTTCCAAAGAGCGGACATGCATTTACGTTTACAATCAATACCATTGCGTATCAAGTGGATTATCGCTAATTAGATTCTTACAATTTTTTCTCACAGCGATTCGGATTCAGTGTTCATGGAAGCGTCTTCAGGCTGAGCGAGAGCTCGAAAAGCGGAGAAAGGCAGCGGAGATTATTCGCAGGTACGCAAATGCAAGGTCAGCGATCCGAAATCGCATATCTATGATGACGCAATAGACACGTGTATCAAAAAGGGAGTTTAAATAATCGAGAAGAACAAAGATGTAGAAGAGGTCATACTTGTATATGCGCTGGGGCAAAAAAACCGGCTAGATATAAGAATCATTGTTCCCTATGCAGTTATCTGGATGCCTTTTCGAGGGTCCCCCAAAGGGGGTGGACTACAGTTAGCTATTGTCAGGACACATATATTATTATTATATTATGCACTATTATTATATATATAAAGGAGGTCATTATTTATATTACTCTATAATATAAATAACGACTTCCTTTAGAAGTGTTTTTTATTGTCCAAGAAAATTACAAGCTGTTTTCATGCTATCAGTATATCATACCAGATTCGAAATTATAGTTGAGGCACGAACAAATGTTTCAACTTTGGTGTATTAACAACAAACACTTTCGGGTCTTTGAAAACAATGGTTTTAGCTGGATAATCGCTATTCAAGGGAAGCAACATGATTCCAAGCGGAATTACTACCACAATTCCCGAAGCATGCTGAAGGATTAACACACAGTAAATCCGTTACCAATGATTTATTAACGGGCAAGGGGCTCTGGGATACGCCTCGTTAGAATCGCTTGCTTCAGTCAAGGTCCCCTGCACAAGGGCATTTCCGAAGTGCCATAGCCGGTGCTCGCACGAGTTGTTTCGACTCGAACCAGAAAAGAAAATTGCTATTTTGTGCGATGATTCCTGATGGAAGAATTTGTATTTACTTAAGGCTTATTTACTGACTCGTTACATGTGTCAGGTACCAGCCGTTGCACAAGTTCTACATTGTGAATTGTCTATTCGAAGGACGAGAGCATCTGCCACAATAGTACCTTTAATATACGACACAATGCTTTCAAAACACAAAAGGCTTCTATCTAGCAGGTATATTTTTAAAATCTATCTTTTTAGAAGCATTGATCATTTCTACGATTCCATTCGAAGTTGTACAACTTTTTACGCCTGCGTTATTGGATCGCGCTGCCTATTTTGAATCTGCGCTTGTCTTCTATTTATCTCGTATAAGTTACTACATTAAAATTATTGTAGTTGGGCATTTCAAGTAACGAAGTTACTTTATGTGTTCGCACGTTACAGTTTCATCAAAGGGTTCATCATGAGAAAAAATCCAGAAAGTGACGTGAACAGACAGGTACGTAATTAGGGCATACACTGTGATACACATTACTTAGCTCCAATAAGAAGTGTTCTTTGTGAAAAGCTAAATAAAGCATTTATTGGTATCCTCATTTTTCTATAGTTATTCTTTAAGTACACCTTCATTTTCACGTTATGCTTACTATTTTGCTTTCTCTCTCTTTTTTGTCTCTCTGTCTCACCTGCCTCGTGTTTAGATCGGCCATATGATTGCGCTGGCCCTGCGATGCTTTTTTCTAAAGTGATCCATGTCTATCGAGGTTATTTCTCGCATAGATCCTGCTGAAGTGAAAATGAGTGTTCTAAGTTATCATTTATATATAGTAACTACGTTTTCGTAACGAAGCTTAATATGCTTTTTATGGAGACAAAGCGCCCGAGGTGGCTCCTTACGACGAGTTGAAGTCGCAAATAGGAACAATAACGTTTCTCGTGCGTCAGAATTGTTGGAACTCTTTAGAGAAGCAAAAGGTAAAGTTGAAAATCTTATAGAAAAAATGCCGCATGTTCTACAATCTGCCCATTGGAGCGTCGTATTTTTTTGCAGCATTTATTGCGCGACGGAAACGGGTGGCTGCGTAATAGTAACATGATAATCCTTGCGTAGTTGTCATCCTATTAAACATTTCATACGATGTTCTGCTATTTCACTAAATCTACTATATATTTTTCTGCTATATTTTCAAATCTTTGATCGATTGAAAGTTGTCAGTTGACGGCTGTATCTTTAATCCATTGCTCAACAAATTCTGAGCCAAGTTGAAACTTACAGGACCAAGGCCTACTACTGAAACACGGGTTCCAGTCTTTAATTTCGGCAAAAATTGAGACATGTTGGGTTACTATACGCTACGTAGTAGGGCGTAGAAGTATTCTCAATGCATATACTATATGTTGAAATAAGAATATTTGGTGTCTTTTATAAGTAGCATCTATAAAAGCGGTGTCAAGATTTACTTATGCTATTTTTATTACCATGATTTTATTATAATAAGCATTTCACTGATAATTCCTGGACACGCTACGAAAGAAATAAAAAGCCTATGTTACCTAAAAAGGGTCGTACAGACTGTGTGGTGCTCTAAGGCCAATTTACCTTTTAGACAGTTATGGAAATGGCAGTCTTTTTTGCTAATTAGCATCTGTGTAATTCACCGAGCCTGTATGCACACATTAAACACGATCCGTTGTTGCCAACAGTAAAATATCTAGCTGCGATAGTTTTTTTTTTCTCACAAGCTTTCGGGCTAATGTGTGCCCGGTACAAGCTAAGGCCGCGATCAATCGCGGCTACACGCCCATCGAATCAACTAGCTTCCTTTGACTTTTGTCGTTGCATAGTGTTGCCAATGAGAAATATGCAAAACAGTATGGGAGTCTCTCTCTCTCTCTCTATATATATATATATATGTATGTACGGTTAATATGAGCGTTTCCATTTATGGCTGACCCGTGTGAAACTTTCAATCAAACCTCAAATTCCGTATTGAACCTTTACTTTATGAGTTCGATTTTATATTTACTCGCCTTTCTCATCTCTTCCTGACACTGCTTTAACTTATGTGATAAGTTGATTAACCGATTTATCCGTTAATGCTCTTTTACCCCACGGCCACGGTATGCCCGCTGCCTGCTTGAGGCATACTGCAGTGCATTTTAGCTATAAACATATCCTTCATCAAGGTGCTTTCGAGAATTACCAGTGTGCAGCTCCATATGAAATTTACCCCATAGGTGAACCAACGTACGAGTACAAATATCTATGACACGTCACCTATGCGCCCATGAGCTCGAACTGGAAAAGATTCTACAATACAAAATGGTGGCTTTTCTGTACCTAATTATGCGCACCTAAGCTAAAACGTGATGTTAGTATTTAGTTCATTTATACAGGTGCAGTGAGACAAGCGCCCTCTGGATTGGTACATCATTCATTGTCGGATCGGAAGAGGATTTTCCTCATTTCAACTAAATTAAATAATTATTCTCACTATTTATCTTATTAATGTTGATTAAATTCATGATTGATACGTGTTTTGCAGTTCTTAAGATTGATACGCGTGGAATATCTGCAGCGACTAGCAAGGAGCTTGCCCGAATCAGTCATGGACAAATCTTGGCCAGAAGCACCATCACTTTGCAAAGTAATCCTTTTTCCTTTGGCGAATTATCTTACAGAAATCCATTAGTCGAATATATGAGATACATGATTCAATAGGAGAGAACGTACCCTCGCCAAGCTAACATTTGTTGACTCTCTTATCACCTATATGAGCGTACAACCTAATAATTACTGCAGTTTACGTCGACAACACGACAAATACGGACTAAGTGCTCTATTTTCAGGAAGCATCTCAAATTTTACAGGCGCTGCACCGGCGCATCCTTGTAAGAAACTATTTCCTCAATATGAGTTCGGAGCGGAAGGAACAGCTCCGATGGAAGCTTGAGGCCAGCGAATTATTCAAGGTACCAGTACCATAAGCCACGTCCTTTAACCTAAACAAGATGACCCCGTCATAGTACGTTCCTTTTCATGACCAGCATCTCGTTTCCCGAGCGTTCTTTATACGCGCTCATTTTTGTATTGATATAACTGCCGCTTGGCGAACAAGCGTAAAGCGTTAACAATATAGGACGATCGGATCGCTTGTAAAACGGATCGGGTTACGGAAAAGAGTCAGTTAAGTATTCTGGCTTCGGGAAATGGTGCGTCGATAATTTAGTAAATGAGGGAAGTTATATACGACAAGAATATTTGATGTCTCATTTTGTAGATCTCTCTTAAACGCAAAATCACTCTTTTTATATCATTACTCTAGAATTAAAAAATTCTCTTGCCTTCTCTACGAGTCACGTGATCATCGAATATTGAAAACGACTCCTGAAGGGGCATAATTTCTGCAAAAAAACCGATACATTTCGATGAACTGAATAAAGGTGCTAAATAACTATTTGTAAACCCTAAAATGAAAGGAACAAATACTTGAAAAACCTTCAGGTCTCTTTTTGGACATTTCAAGAACACGCCAATCGAAACATACTACATAATTGTATCTTAAATATTTACTAGTAAAAATGTTCAAAATTAAAAAATCAGAGTCCCAAAAATTGGGCTAGAATATCGGGGCCGTAGTCCCTGATAGGGGTCGGCTTAGGGCCGACGTGATCCATGTCCGTCCCTAACAGAAACAGAGTTAATCGGTCAGCGTTGAAAAAAGAATCTTCCATAGCAGCGTTGTAAAAATGCAAAGCCAGCACAGGCGAGTGAGGCAGCTGTTCGATCAAAGCTGGCAAAGAGAGCGCTCTGCGACGTAGTTGTACTTCGATTATCACGCATTTGCGATACTGGCGACAAACGTGTTTTTTTTTTTGTAGACGCGTTAGTAAATACTTAATTTCATAATTTTGCTGCATTTCTATAAGAGGTTATGAATAAATGAAGCAATAGAACTATCGTTACTACTTTCGAGTAGCTTGCTCGTGTAAGTATCCAGTCAACTGAGTTGACGTCAAGAGCACATATTATTATCATTATCTAGAAAAAAAAAAATGTTGATATTCTATAAAGAAGTTTAACGCATACATTTAATGTGCTTTGTAGGGCAAAAAATCAAGTTACTCGAATGGTGTTGAGGTTCCATTCGTTACATCGCATCTGCCATCCAGTCTGAAGCAACAACTCGAGCTCTTTCAAAATGAGTATCTGGAAAATAGCGACGTCATATCGGTTTGTACTGCATAGACAGCGACTTGCAACAAGTTAGAAAATAACTTATGGCTTGTTTATCCAACCTGGACAATAGCTTGTCTGTCAGTTGCAATAACAGACTCTCGCAAGCCCTTCTAAAACATGTCTGCCAGATTCGTTTTCATTTAGATAAATTTTTCGAGTTTTACGTTCGGCTCTACTGCTATTAGGTGTATTTGCGTCCGGTTGAGCTTGCCAAACACCGTACCGTTGTCTTACCATTAAAATCGTCCTTATTTTACCTATGGAATCACGCAGAACGAATAGAAATCTTTTGCTAATACGAGGGCATCGTATGCTTAGCTGCTTTTCAAATTTCAACACTGTTAGCAGTGAACAGTAACGTGATTTTGTACTCGTCCTTCGCAGTACTCTTTGCCAGTGACGAAGTACGATCGACACGGCTACAGAGAACGACGATGGGTGCTGATACTTACGACAAAGTGCATCTACCTGGTTGACGCAAAGAACTTTAAAATTAAGCACACCCTGCACCTCAAGGCTCTGCCTGGTAACATCGTTTAGATTTACTGAGTCCGGGATTTCGGTTAACCAGCTGTTTTGTTTTTTTGAATAGGCAAATAATTTTTAAACATCATTTATTGGCGTAATAGTTGGCGAGAACTGGGACTTCTATACCAGACAAAGGGGTTGTTGACTACCTCGCGCTACGCAACGATGTTTGATTGAATGTTTCCATCGCATCGTAATGGATGTTCGTTCAAAAAAAGAAAACAGTGATAATTCATAATGGCATGCAAACAATTCATGACAAATTTGATGGCATTAAAGGAAACTTTTTAGGAATATGTCATATCGAAACGTAAGTAAGTAGTTAGTAGTAGTAAAGTTTACAATGTGTCTGCTCTTGGTTTCAGATGCTTGTAAGTTATCCGTCCGAACTAACTGCACCGGCTCTGGTTCAGGCTATCATCTTTGTGATGGGACCGAAACAATCCCATCTTGCTCCCATACAGTATATGGAACGCTTTATACTATCGTTGAACTTTACATAAAGTATATATATGTCTTTAAAGATTTCAAGCGTTGAAACGTAATTAACTCGTGCTCTAACTACAGATACTTCAGTTTAGTTGATCTACTTAGGGCAAGTCAAGTAACTATGTTGTGTCAATATTTAAACTTGCTAAGCCGAACTTACTTTTTACGTATCTGGGACGAGATTATTGTTGCTGATTAAATACAAATTAGACAGTTGGCACACAAAAGGAGTAATCGCAAACTTCCTCTATTCCTAACCTTTCGCACACCAGCTAAACTATTTGAACAGTTCCAACAGTATAACAACTTTTTTTTTCTTTTTTGTTATTTCAGGCATAAATGTAAGTTCACGTAGCGATGGATTGGTGGTTTTACAAGATCGCGGTGCGAATATTGACTTAAAAAAGGTTAGCACATGAAACACTGTTAAATTGATCAACTGAAGTGGATTCGCGACTAACTACACTTACTGAATATACTATAACATATAATTAGCATTCTTCGTCATGTATCGTTGGTGCGTATACTTTCTACGTAACTAATACCCTACACAGAACGCGTTTATTTTCATAAAAAATGTTTCTATCAATCAACTCGGGGACAAAATCTGTTATTGGTCGCGTGGAAAGACGGTGTCTCAACCTTAACTTTTGCGCAATTGTCTTCAGCAAGGCGATTTGATTCTGGACTTGGGTGGTTTCCTAATCGAGTGTCTATCGCTGACCTTTCTACTCACCGAAAACAGAACGTCCCTGAATATTATACAAAATGACACGTAAGTAAATACTGCTTTCTTTTAGCGTTCCGATGCTGTCGGCTACCCAATCTGCTTGACAAATAAATACAAATTATTATTATTGATGTTGCATTGACGTGTGCCGAATTTTATTAAAGGGCCTTAGCAGGACCATGTCGTGCGGTTGTTCCTAGAGCAGATTTTTTTGAGAAGAAAAATATTCCTGCGTTGAAGCGTTGCTATACGACGCACGTTATATAATTGTTGTGATATTTACGATGCGATGAAAATGGACGTATCTGCTTGTATTTGTAACGGCTTTCAGTTGTTGACAATTTTCGTAAAAAAAAAAACGAGGGAAATACAGTATCGGTTAGTAACGCTTTCATCGCTTTTCAAAAACATAACATAAGCGTTCATCTATTCCAGCGTTAACGTCACAGCACTGCCGTAGTCGATCGCTGAACTTTTTTCTTTTTTTCTGTCAAACTTATGCTGGAGCAATTCGGGCTTCTGCTTACCTATCGAGATGTATCGAAAACAGCATAGGTACATAAGATCACATCAATTGCGATAGCAGAAAAATAACGTAAACACCTGCCAGTTAACAACGATTTATCGAAACGCTTAGATTCTTATAGCGAATGGAAATCAAGATCGTTAGTGTGTATATCAGTGTTCCGGCATGTTGATACCCAACTCAGAACGACAGCGAAGGCCACCGGTAAACCTATCATATCAATATTCAGTACTATTACGGAGCTAAATGTTATCAATCTCCATAACAAGTTGTCGACTACGGTGGGTGACAGCTAATAAAACAAAACAAAAAAGCTTTATAATCACTTTCTGGTGAAATTAAGCCGTTTGGAGTAAACCTCTTAGTATTCGACCATATATTGATATCACATGTATTTGAAATATATGTTTCCGACAATCGTGAGGTGTTTCGCGACGCCTAGAAGCAACCGTATATTCCTGACAGAGCGGAAATCACGACAACGAGTTAATGGACGATTCACGGGGGATATTTGAACGATATTGCGAGCTTTGTACAAAGGGATCGTAATTTTTACATAGTTTGGTCGTACTATATATAACATCCGTTATTCTGAGATACCTTGCAGTATATATCATCACATAGGCGATGGCAAAGTTGGGACAATAGAGTTTCGACGCGGAGTTTGTCCCTGCATCACGCGAAGCGCAAGTCGGCGGGCTCTGCATGTACTTAGTTAAGCTGATACGAACTGACAATAACTTACATCAACCGATCACGGATTATAATATGTGAAAAGTACAATAATAAATAATAATTGTAGAAAACCTCAAAACATTTCATCCTTTCGCAACCTAGCGTCCATGGCAGCCGACAAGCAACACCATTTCACTACCGCTAGGCAAATTGACAACCCGCTGTCAAATGGGGCCACCCCCCGATTTATGTATTAGCACAAACACGCACCGTGTGCTTTTCTCCTCGTTAGGGCTTGCCTATGTTCGATAACGTCGCAAAGATACAGTACAAAACAGTCTGAGGGCCGAACCGACGGAATTGCCAAAATCCAAGCTTCATGAAAGATCCTCAGCTGTTAACCGTCGCTCGACTTTATGGCATTGGGAGCCATGTCATACGAAGCCCATGTCGTCGTAGCAATGTCGGACGAGCTCAATTCCCTCATCAGTTCTTCACACGTGAATTCTATACAATCGTTCTTGTCATCAAGCAAATAGCCGTTAGGACGTTTATTAAAGCTAATTAAGTGGAATGCCCTTTTCGTCAAGCCCTGTTCTATCCGCACCAAAAGGCTAATTTGATATTGACCGTTTGGCTTAGGTCGATTGTAGCAAAAGTAAACTCGCGCCTGAATAGACTGAATTCAAACTATCTTGTGTTGGCTAATCTCCTTTTAACGGCTTCAGGTACTCCTACTGTTTGTGGAAGTTCTCAGAATTATCTTTTTTTTTTTCACATCGTATCCAGGACTCACCCTTGTGAGAAAGCCTAGCGGAAGGTTTTGTTGACCCATTTTGGGTTTCTCCAGCAGACCCATGTGACAGCATAGTAACCATATGTTATGGTAATCTTTTGCCAACGCAGGAATTTCAACCAGTCACGGGATTGAGTGTTATGAGGCGTTACAAAACGAGTCATGTTTTCGTTTTGCTCTCCGATTTTTGCGCTGCAAGAAGGTACATGTTCGGCTATATGTTCCCGAAACGTGATTTGAATGCGGAAAAGGTGCTTTGTAGCGGCTGGCTGCCTTCTCAGACAGGCCAAATCCATTTATATATGTAAACTTCCACGGGTTAGAGACCTCCCAACGGAAGGCCGAAATGTAGGTTCATTCTCCTCTGGCAAACGAAAACTTCGAATATGATAAAAATGTCGATGAAGGGGAAAAAACTAGTTACTGGCCGCTTGTTATCGATCACACCCCTAATGACGCGGAACCGACAAATCGATACAAACTGGTGCGACGGCTTCGAATTTTATGGGGTGCGTTCAAGGAAATCTATGCCACTATCGATAGCTGTTGACGGTCTAGCCCTAACATCTGAAAGAGTGTCAATGGTATTCTTTGTTCCGATATAATCGACCAACCCAGTTAAAAAATTAAAGTCGTCCAGCAAACCTCGACGACGCTATCTACATTAAGCGTCTGTACGTGAGCGCTGACTGACGGTGTACACGTAAATAACACCACATGGGATTAAACCGCTCAGAATGTTAATTTTACGTGAAGCGTAAAAAACATGGGCAGTGAGAAGACAAAGCGAACGGTGCTCGATATTTAGCAAATATACGTAAATATATTTGCTATAATTACGAACAATCTCGAAGTTGGAAAGAGGATGATAAATTCCAATTTTAGTTCGAGACAGAAACGCGATCCTTGTCTTGGTGGTGGTGGTGGTTATCGTACGTCATAGCGAGATTTATATCGGCAGATACCCAAACGGTTTAGCAAACGTGATTTTGGCGCAGAATTGAGGAAATAGCTTGCCGTTCCTGCCAAACCGCTAATGTTAATACTCCATAGTATTATTAAAGGCCAACTGAAGAAAGCGACGAGAATTAACTGCCAAAACTGTTTGCAGGGCATCTTTTTTTTTCCTACAAAATCAGTCGTCATGCTTCTCGTATCGTTAAGAGTACTCGCCTGGTTCTTCCATGACGTTGATATAAACAGGTAACAATACGAAAACAATCACATTATTACCAAATGCGAAAATAATGCATGGTTAAACTGACGGAACAAATAGCAATATGCGCCAGAACAGGGTACGCTTTTAAGCTTATCAGGATTCCGACATTTTACGAATATATTCAAAACGTAGATTTATTTATTCATTTAGAAAATATACTTTGCTGGCCGAAAATGGATAAAGCAACTTCGACAAAAGGGTGTTCATTTAGGTAAATTAAATCAGGTTACACTCGATCCTGTTTCTATGATCGAATATATTTTATGAAGCATGTAAAATAGAAAGTGCAGCCGAATTTCCACGTTCGACTGAAAAGTCATGCTGAAAATCGACAAGACACTGATAGGAAGCACCTATACAACAGAAAAAGATGTTTGATACCACCCGTCTAGTATGTAAACAATAATGTAGGTGAACGTTTTTCCTCTAGAAGAGGTCTTCGTAGAACGTATTCATATATATATATATATACATATATTCTTTCATACGCAGTGCGGACCTGAGCTGATCGTCTAATACTGGCTATAAATGAAACACCTTGATGCTACTGTTTACAGTCTAGGAAGCAGAAATAGGTCCATTAGGAAGGCTGATGCCTAGTGTTGATTGGCAACAGTTATTATAGAGTACTGGTGACACTGGTCATAAATTTGGAAAACAAGTAACATATGTATTGACGAATTAGGGCAGGCAGACGGGTTAGTTGTCGTTCGTTGGGTTCTTTAGCATGAAAACTCCCACTTAGGCCATCATGGAAGTTTGGCCGGGGTGAAATCGTTCCATATAGCTATATAGTTAGTATTAGTTAGCGTAATATATATATATATATATATACTGTGCTACGTAATCAAAAGTAACAGGTTCTCAAATCGTTTATTCAAGTCAAATAGTTTCGTTAGAGGGTGTGATAGTGAACCGCTTGAGATGAGTTAACGTTCCCAAAGGCGGCGACTGATAGGTCGGGTTCTACAGTTGTCATTTGCCGAAGACAGACCATTTTAGGTGGTAGTTTGGTCATACAATTTGACTGAAATACGACTCAGATGATAGTTCCCTTTTACAGCTTAACTTACAAACGCTAAATAAATAAAATCGACAGATAATTGATTTTAAAAAAAAAGACCAGATTTATGTGTGAAACTGGCACTTCTTTAATGTTAATCGGAAAACTAATGTGAGATAGTGACGCAAGGGGCATTTGTACGGCATGAAACGCACTCAACACCTAGAGATTCGTAAGCAGAAGGGTAACATTGAAGAGGACCCATGTGTCCGGGTCAGTATCGCAGGGAAGGTCTAGGGAAGCGACCAATTTTGTACGTGCAGGATCCTCGTAAAGGGGTACGCTGACCATGTTGGAGTGGCTGGATGACTGGAGTCGTACCTAAACGCAGCAAAATAGTATGAATCATTCGAAATAAAGCTGATGAAATATGAAAAAGAAAGCGTTCCGAAAGCTACCTTTCAATTTGAGTTTCAGCAGTCAACGCTTACTTTGCCAAACCGTTACCTTTAATCGATCAAATCACTAAGAACAAGGCAGCTATAGCTTTGCAGTTGCTCTGGAAGTGTTGAATATTCTCTGTATATAGTAGTTAAGTAAATGAGTAATGGGCACTTACATCCGCGATCCATCCTAAGTGGGCGGTGGGCAATAACGAAGTTGTGGCTGATTTGTGCAAGCACTCTGATAATGATGTCCCATCGAAGACCGCCCCCTCGATCAACAAATTCTCGACTTTAACCTGCTTTCGTAAATACGAGAGCCAATTTTTGGCCAAGACATTTGTCATTATTATTATCATTGGCATCACAGGCCGAGCGACACTCAGTCATTGTTGTTTGTTGTTTTAGGTTTTTCTTTTACGATGCGACCTTAGACAAGGCACAGTTTATGCATCACATTAACTGTGAAGCGTGTCGTCGGCTGTACGGCTAGATATTTCCACAAACCATAAAACGAAATATACTATAACTAATATGATCGTTTCTTTTATGAGGTCGGTAAAAAGATCTAGATATTACAATTAAGCGAAATTTTGATTTTCATCTTTATATAAACCGAATAATTACATCAGCATCAACTACGATAGGTTTCTACGTCTTTAGATTCTTAGTAACCAAAAAAAAGAAACAACATATTTTACATTTATTTTTCTACGAAAAGCTTGCCGTTGTCCAATTCCAATATGGTGCCGAAATATGGCAATCTCTAGGAAAAAAACACGTGGACGTCATTGAACAAATGCAAAATCGGTTTGCTCGAAGAGTTGCCCTCAGAGGCGGCGTAAACCACATTGGCCTACTTCTTCGATCTACATATAAATTGCACTCTAACGCAGATATTGCCATGGATAAAAGGTTGAAACTACTTGATATGATATTATACTTCGTTAGCATCGAATTTAACGCGTTCCGCGCTAAGGACGCGGCAACAACGTCCGAAATAGCCTGAGTTGGGACGATAAATGTTGGAAGCTGCTTCTATGGAGAAATATTTTTGAATTTTACCACAGATAAGTCAAATAACGTTACCAGTAAGATCACTATAACATGGTACTATTTCTTATACTGTTACTGTTATAATATATTTCTCTCGTCGCGATAAACGTGATTCCGATGTAACTTATAGAGAAAAAACAGAGCTGGCCATTCGTAGGTGGTGACCAGGCATGCTGGAAGATGACAGTTGAATACTATACAAAAGCTTTAAGTTTTACGACCAGTTGGATGGTTTATCACTGCAATCTCGAGCAATGCAAGCCGCTAAAATGTCTAATAGTGATTGCAACAATGTTAACTTGTCTTAATACTAGAGATAACTATTGAATTTTACCAATTGTTTGTGGTGGCGCCCACCTGAATCTGGCATGACAGTGGTTTCCGGAACGAAACATCAAGACGCAGGCTGTTGATGGCGCTCTTGGTTATCCTTAAATATGGTTATCGATTAGAAAAATATGCCTTAGACCTGTCCGTATAGAATGGTACAGTCCGCAACTCAGATTCAGGGTTATGGGTTGCGTGCCGTATCTTTAGTTGCCGCGATGGCTTATGGGGAAGCTACTTTAAAACCTGAGATAATTTTCAGCTTGGAATAATTATCTAATAGGCCTAGGAGCATAACTGCGCTACATCGACGACATAATAATTTCATTTAGTTCTAGGGCATTGCTTCTTTTTGTTACTAACGTTTCGCATATGGTTTGATGAATAGCCAATTTAAAGGGAAATTATGTGTCTGTGCTCGCTTACCTAGCTGTCTGCTGCCGGAGAGCATTAAGGAACTTATTTGGGTGAAGGAGTTCGGCGAGGTCGAAAATGGCGTCAAACGAAAAACCCGATGAAGACATCCATTTGTTCTGAATGGCAGACGCCTTAGATACTAGCTGACGCATGTAGTTGTATGGGTCTTCAGGACCACTCCATTGCCGTTGCCATTCCAGCGGTGTCTGTTCAAATAGATCGCAATTGTTATGGACATCTTCATACTTAGTTAGGAAACACGAAAACCATCAAAATTAGAATACTACTACTGATAATAGGATTAAGCCAACTTTTATGACAAATCGTCCTCGTCGATGAACCTACCTCCAGTTTAAGTAGTTGTTCTGCTATTGAGGCCGAACTGTTTGTAACCAGTATGGTGCCTCTGATCGTTTTACTGATCTCAGCAAGATCTGAGTGCACCGATTGAACTAGTCGAATAGCCGCGTTGTATTCATTTAGCATGAACGTCTCCAGAGGACTGTCCCCCTCAGTAAAATCGTCCAACTTCTGCTGGTGGATATTCAGTCCTTCATTAAGTTTTTTCCAAAAAGCAAGCAACGGCCCGACGCCACGACTCCAACGTTCTATAGTTTTTTCCACTCTTCCCTCGATTTTCGCAGTATTCATTTGTTTTAGCCGACTGATAATTTCATTTGCCTTAACTTTCTGCTGAGTACGCTGGATGTTTGCGGGCAAATTAAGGAACACGGGACGGTCCTCATCGGGCAAGGCCTGGATAACCCTGAGGTGCTCTTTCGTTGTGGTATTGATCGGCATAGACACGTTTGGGGCAACTCCTTTCGATTTCGAGTTACCAGTAATGACGAGTGGATTAAACAGCCGTTGAATATGGGCTGCCAAAATACGAGCATCAAACTCTGATTCGATTCGACCCCCATATATGGCGACATCGAGAAGACCTCGAAGATAGGTCCACTCGACGGACCCTGAGCAGAATTGCTGCTGACAGACTTGTAGGGCGGCTTTGAGATCGCCTGTAGAGAAATCATACTCCTTGGACCAGCCCTGAGGAAGGTAGGCTCTGCGTTGCTGAATAATGGCATGGAACCAGGCTAGAACAAAGATACACTGCGAGGCTTGAAGGTTACCTCGACAGTACACAGTATCCTGGTTCCATGAATCATAAATTCGCTGCAGATTACGTTTGATACCCGGAGGCGTTTCGTAGGCGATTTTCAGAGACATTTCCAACAATTGCGGAGGAATGGTTTCTTTCGGTTCGGTGGTAAGCCACAACCTGAAATCGGAATGCGGCTCTAACATACTCCACTCCTTGAGTAGGACCGGAATCCAAGCCGTAACAAGGTGTAGATTTGTTAGGCACAGCCACTCGCCATCGACCGCACACCTTTTAAGCGCTTTAATTGCTTCAACAGTCTGTTCATGGCCTAAAGAGATCTGGGTGTATTTTCCACTGCCAATTGTACTGTCTGCTGCCTCAGCGATCTCGATACTGGGATCGATCCCCGATGGCACCGGAATCAGTATCGGCACAGTCGAAGAAGACAACTCGACGAAAACACGTTTCAGTGATCGGATTCCCGCCGATAGGTCCTTGACGTTTATAGCGGATGCAGCGAAGTCGTTCATCTTCGAATAGAGACGATCCGGTCGAAGAGCTTTTATCAACAATACCTCGACAAATGGCTTCAGTCGAAGTTGCGATGGAATCTCATCCTCGCATTTGCTACTGGCGCCAAACTGGCTCCACATATCTCTATTATGCAGTTCTAAGGAGGGCCAAATATCCATGTTATTGGCTTTGAAGGTAGCTATCGTAGGGAATTGGTCAGGCTCAACCCACGGGGGTACTGAGCTCTTTGACACTTCCGCTTTTGTATCGGAAAGTCCCATGAACGTGTCCCATTCCATCTTTGTAATGTGTTCCGGCTGCATTTTGCGTACGATGTGGAGTGCGAAACAAATTCGGTCTTCTTTGAACAGAGCCCTACTGAAATTGATAAATGTTGCCTTTTGAAGCTCATTGCAGAGTTCCTGTATGTTCGTCTCAACGTTCGGTGACCGAGTCGTAGTTCGGAGAACGTTTTCGAAAACTTCAACAAAATTGCTTAGGTCGAAGAGATAAATTGGTGATAAATGACGTAAGTCTCGGGTCACAAAAAACATATCACTGGCGAAGGATGCTAGTTTAGAGTATTGATGACGTTCGAATTCCGCTGAAGCCTGCAGCTTCTCGGATTCTTTAAGCGCGTTTGCAATTGTAATGCTGTTCTGTTTGTTCTGATTTAATGACGCCAAAAGTACTCTGTTGTCGAGCAGGCTGCCTTGAGACGACGCCAGCTGATTTAAAAGCTCGTCTTCCATTTTCGCAAGTTCAACCCTCATCGTTTCCTGATTTCTAATGAGCTCCATTCGTTTTTTCTCGAAATCGGGATTTTCATTGTGGATAATTTTGTCAAGAAGTTGCTCGGATAATGCTGCTTTAGTAATTGAGAAGTTGACAACCTGCACCAGAGAATTTACGTAAGGTGGTAGTACCGTCAAAGGGTTCTGGGTGTGAAGAATTAGTTCAAAATCCTCATTCAGGTCTACAAGTTTATCGCCAAGCTGCACCATTGATCTGGAGCCTTGCGCTATAAGGTCTTTACGCAGAAGGGGGATAAGAACGGGAGCGACTGTCTGTGTGTGGGGAATTATTAGCATTTTCCCAAAACGTATTGCCAGCTCCAGCACTGTCAGGAAGCGATCTTCGTTCTGAGCAACGACCTCGACTATTTTTGTCTTGTACGATTGAAGCCATTTCAGAGCACAGTTCGTCGGATCTATAAGAAACGTTGCTATCGGTGAGCTCTTAATAAATACACCATTGTCCACAGATAGCTTATCGGAGGGGAGGTTATATTGCCTCCAAATAAGTATTTCTTGCTCAGAGCATAGGAACTTGCTGGTGTCAAAATCGCTAGAAAGTTTCACAGTGTTCAACCACGTGGTCAGCAAGCTCTGCCGAACGTCTTCTGGAAGCTGACCCAAATAGATGACAGACGCTGCAGCCATAAGGCAACGGAGAGGCAGGTCTTGCAATTGAGTATCGATATCACTTAGTTGTTGCCGCCATCTGGAGTATTCGTCTTGTAATTGTGCCACCAATCCTTCCGCAGCGTTCAACGTATCCTGGGCTGCCTTAAGACCAATTTCGATTTGAGCTGCTTCGGTCGTCAGCTTGTTTAGCTGCTCTTTAAGTTCAGCTACTTGTTTATCGACACCTCGAAGGGCAGACGCGAGATCCTTGGATCTTTGTTGAGACTGTTGAAGATTTTTCGTCAGTTCGGCTTGTTCTCTTTCGAGTGGTTCGATTTTCTGAAGTACCGCCGCATACTTAACATTTGCGCGTACCCAGTCGGCCAGAGGTGCAGATGCAGCCGAAGCTCTTTTAGCATTTTTAGGATCGAACGAAGTGGCACGCTTCTGTAGGAGTGTCTCGACATTCTGTCTGATATCGGATGTAATTTGATGAGCGTCAAAGTTCATTATTTCGTCTTTCACGCCCCGCTTTGAGAGGAAGCTTTTCATTGCAACCCATGAGAGATCATTGGCGCCCATTAGGCTCAACACGCCTTCCAAAATGTCTCGGATGACATCTGGTGGAGCTCTAAGTGATCGGATCTCTGAAAGAGACTCAGCCTTAATACCACCGACTGCTGCTTTGGCCTGACTAATCAGGGGCTCAATTTCGCTGAGTTCAGTATCAATTTCCTTCTTTCTTTGTTCAAGTTTCCTATTCTCGATTACCATCTTCTTTTGTAATATTTGCATTTCCGTTCGTTGCTCGGTGGTTCTCGACACGCTATCGGTAATAGCCTTCAGAGCTTCATCGGCCTCAGCTCTTTTCTTTACAAGCAAGTCCTCTTGGATCTTCGCGTCTGCTCTAAGTTTGTTGACGGTCTCCTTTGCCTCATCAAGTTTCTCCACTCCTGCTTTTAAGTGATTTTTCCTTTGTTTTAATTCTGTGTATTTCAGCTGGTACAAACTATCATACGCCTTAATAAACGTTTGATACGTTCTAGGCGAGCAGTAATCTTCGCTGACGCTCTTGTGAATTTTGCAGAAAAGCTTGGAGAATGCGTCCACAGTTCGACGATCCGAATTCGCTGTTTTAGGCCGGTCGTTAGACTCGATTATTAGCATGGGCATTCGCTCCATAGTCTCGGTGCTCCATTCGGTTGTCCAGATAACACAGCAATGTTTATACAACGCTGGATTGTCCTCGATTCTTCTGTCAAACCGCGGGTCAGTATAATTCATACTTATAATTACACGCAGGTTCTGCTTAACCTTTTCAGAAAAATATGCAAACACTCCACCACGGAAGCCTTCATCCGATGCCACCTCTTTGAGAGACTCCAGCTCTTGCGGGGCAAACAGTCCAGCGAGTTCTCCGGATGCCAGGACGCCACAAATTGTGTCCAAGAACTCTTCATTTTCAATCTGGTATTCCTCAATAAATAGAATGGTCGGTTTCCTCTCAATTCCTGCATTTTGTAGCGCAATCTTTAGACTGTTGTTAAAGTTGACCATTGAGTAGCTTAGTGTGGTTCTAGGAGTCACAAACATATAGTCGTAAAGGTGGGCCAACAGTGAAACGCTTAACCGCCTGCCAATACCAGGTTGTCCGACAAGAAGTAATGAATTGTTGTTTTGTGTTAGTAGACGATCAATTTTAGCAGCTAAGTATAGGAAATCGTCGTGAAACACAGGTTTGATCTGGCGGATTTCACTTGCGTATCGTGTTGAAACTTTTTGCAGGCTAGCTTCCCAATCGTTAGAATGAAGTTTAATGAGATATCGACCTAAAGGCCCGGAAAAGCCATCTGAAGATACAAAAAATGACTCCTTTGTCAGCAAGTCGACCAGAACATTTTTATATCCACTACCGAGATCGTTATCGAGGACTTCAGCAAATAACGTAAGGAAATCCTTCATATCAGCGTCAGTGGCCAACGAGTCACCAAATATTCTCAATGCTTCGTGACACCAAACCACAGGAAGTTCACCTTCGGATTTTGTGTATCTTGTCATAACACGGGCCCACGTGGTTAAGTTTCGAGCAGTAAAAACGTAATGCTTTCGAGAATCTATTGTAAACTTTTTTCGTATCCTTGTAAGCACGTTTGCCATGGCAGTCGCTACGATATTTTGATCCATGGACGACTCTTTGAGGACAGGCGATATGAGGGTTGAATAGATTTGGGTCAGCTCCTCGCGGTCAGGATGTTCGAGTGAAATAATTAGCGATATAGAAGTAAGTCGAGTCGAAATTTGGGCCCGATCAGTGACCGTTGCGATAAACTGAATTCGCTCGAAAGCTATCCAATTCAGACAATCATCATAGAAACCTCCGTAGTTTACTATTTGTTGGAGCCATTCGATCAACCGACAAGTGCCCCATTTATCTTTTTTCGGTACATCAATGTCTTTAAGTAAAAAAACTAATTTTTCACTATCTTTCGGCCGAAGGACCTTGCTTGTACTGCCCGAGTTTACGGTAATACAGTGTTGTAAAAGTTTGTGATGAACATGTGATGGCTGCGTCTGCGATGAACAGTACAAAATAGCCATCTGGACTGAAGTTGATGATAACTTAGAGAAACAGTGTCGAACCAGAAGACATTTCCCCGAGCCTTGAGGGCCAGCAATAATAATAGGTTTGAGCTGGTCCAGCCAGGAAATCAGAATGTCCGCAGCTCGTTGAAGGTGGATCGTCTCAATGACGGGGATCCTGTTTATCGGTCCTGTGAGAGCTGAGATGTCAACGCTCTTTGTGTCGGTAAAGCTGTAAACATCGAGGCGGTCACGCTTCCTGTTATAGAACGTAAATTCAGCCTTGCTGGGGTCAGGGATCATCTCATTCATCGTTGTGAGCACGAGCTTAGCGAAAGGCTGTCTCGCCAAAGGCTTCAGATTCGCAGCAAAGCCTTGCAGGAGGGCAGCCGTAAACTCAGCCTTGGATTTAACGCCATGCAGTAGTGACAATGCACTAACAGAGGTTCCAACACTAGTGGTTGTGATAGCATTCTCGTTACGTTTTACTACCCAGTCAAGACAGCTAAAGAAGTAACTATCCAACAGTGGTTTGAGCGCCAACTGCACGTCGGGCCTTTCTTTCTTTAGCCACGCCGAAACGATGTTGGCCGGGTTTATATTTTCCGCGCTTAGATGTATGATACCCATACGCGAAATGGTTGCCGGCGAAGCGTGCGACAGGTCGTGTGTTTCGAAGAGGAAGTTCACATTCGGTCCAAATTGAATGCGCTCTCCGGAGGGCATTGTTAGTAGACGATTATCGTCGAGAACAGAATTGAGCGCCTCAATCCATTCCGGATCCACATCACCATCACAAATTATCCACGAATTCGTAGAATGCTCTTCTTTTATTACCTGCAGCACACGCACTGTTTAGTTTACTTGTTTCATAAATTGTTTCAAAGATAAACGTAAAAACATTTATTTTCGAAAAGCTACTTGCCTGTCTAGCAGACAGGGTGAGCACTCCGTCGTGCCACTCTCTCGTGTCAAGGTCGACTCTGCCTAAAAGTTGAGCTCGGCCCATGGCCTTAGGATTAAAGACGTGTGTTTTAATATCTATGCCTTGCTTGAGAAGGGCAACCTTTAACGTTTTCCAAAGCGTAGATTTCCCGGAGCCTGCTGGTCCTACAACCACCACCCCCATCCTTTGTCGTAACTGTTCGCTTAACTCCACCATTTTTTTAACCTGTTTCTCATCCACCTACGGGCCAGGAAGGAACAAAATAATCAAAGCCTATAGTATTGTTTTATGAAAAGGGTCTATTGGTTGTTTGTAATATATGCTAACTTTGGTGACCATTTCAAAAGCTAGGATTCATACGAAATACGAAGGGCTATTTATGTTCAAGGGTCAAGTAAGGCTGTTTCGTGGTCAATATTGTGTACTGATCTACACTGAAGAACGGCTGCTTTCAGTATTTAGATAGTGCGCTTGTTTGATTGTGTTTTTTCTTCAATCATCTCTTCTTTTACTTCCTGCGGCTTACCTCAAGACGAAGTTCTTCGCAGGCCTCACGGCAGGTCTGTGCAAGTTCATCGTTGGAGAAGTCTTCTAGCTCTATTCCAGGAAAGATGTCACAGAGGAGGTCATCAAACAGCTGGCAGTCTCGATAGGCAAGCTTCGATAGGGTATTAAGACGAAGCGCCCGAATAATGACTGCCGACTCATCCTGTTCTCTACATTCTTATTCATGCACAACATAAAATACAACAAATTTACAAGCGGTATTACATCTACAACTTAATTAAGCGAGGTCAGCTTCCTACAGCTTTGGAAGGATAATTATAAGCAAAGGAATTGCATTCAGAAGCATTTATAGGTCCCGCTATGCAAGATGTGTGCTTAAATGGAATACATCTATCAAATATTAAGGTATTCCTCCGAATTTAAAATTGTCCTTTTTTTGAATAGGAACCTGTTGTTCATGTGGTTTACCAGTCATTGTTGTATGATGTGCGTATTGCAAATACGATGTTATTTATATATGTACAGCTGCCAGACTCTACCGACTCAAGTGTTGAAGGGGAAGAAATGGACAAACATGTACTGTTAATATAGCCATTTAAAGATGTTTAACTTGTCCGGAAATACTAGCATTGTTATCGTTACCTGCGTCGTAGTAGAATGAATATCATTGAGCTCTAAACAGATGTATTTTAATAACATTAACATCTAAATGATTCATACAGAGATACCGTTGTTTTTCAAAACTGTGGCGCGAATGGCTTATGAAAGCTACAAACGGGCGCTGTTCATCGCAGTGATCAGTGACAACGCAATTCCAGAACGGAAGAATATTTCAGTAAAGATATACTGATACAAGATAAAAGGAGAAACAGTCTTTCTCATATTTAACGTAGGACAGCCAGAGAGCTGGGGCTCTCTCTCTCCTCTTCCAATTCGTACACGATTCGGTCATTTTTTTGCGAAAAAAATTATAATCGCTAACCAACTTTAGTTGATGATACCTTACATTTTATATGCTATAGGAAAATAGCGCATATATATGGGTCATTCGGAACGAAATGGTTTGGGCAATCTATTGCAAAGAGATAGTCAGTCAGAGACTACTCATGCATGTTTTCTGGCTACATGGTGAGCTCTTTCCATCCAAGATCAACTTTGGTATACTTTAATTCGGGCGTAAGTAGCACACCCCGAACTTTAACAGTCATTCAATTCGGTTCCATCATAAAAAATTTTACACTTTATATCAGCGCGTACAATCCAAACGTCTTCAACACGCTATACTAGCACGGAGTATCAATGTTAAGGTGATAGCTTTTGACTGTATGATAATTTTATCGTATGTTAAAATCCTATCATGCTACGCCGCGGAGCAAGTTGAAAGTATTGAAACTATAAGGATAAATGATACGTCTGTCTATACGTACAGCACCGAGAACTCGTCGCAGTGAAGGCTGTGTATTGTCTTTCGATCTTAGTTGATCTCGAGCCAATTATGTCAATTCGAATATAGGACAGGTACTCACCTCTACTGAGGGCAGCGTGACGCAGCTGAGTGCCGCACGCCTGGATAACGCTTTTGAGACTACGCAGTCCCCAGTCATAATGTTGTTGCTCCGAGAGAAACTCTTTAGCCAGAGTGAAGACGGCTACAAGTTTGGTACTAAGTACATTGGAGTATTTGAATCCTTCGGCGTAGAGCAACACTTGAGTAATAACAACATTATCAGGGACGGTCATCGCGACAGGTCGAAAAAGCTGTTTAAGATTGTCGGGTAATTTCTGTCGGCCGCCGTAACCTTTACCGGCCGGATTCATGGTAACAAAGATGCCGGCATTTAGATTAACGTCCACCTACAGAAAATGTATGTTTTGAAAACAAAATATTCCCTCAGATCTTTATACGTACTAGAAATGTACATAAAACCAGTGAAAAAAACTAGTTTCTAATTAGCCAATCGACATTAATTCGAGCCACAAACGTTGCTTATACCAAGTAGCACATTAGGGTCCTCACTGTGATACGGGAATCAAATGATTAGCAGGGATATGAATGGGATGAGGTGTCTGAGACCTACGCAAGGCATAAATGGTGATTATTTTGCATTGAGAAGCTTCGAGTTTGTAACGACAAACCTGTTGGTTAGACAAGTGGACTATTTTCTTTTTGTCCTTGAGAGCGTTTTGGATGGCCTGGATGTTAACGGATAGGGCACTCAGTACGCCTTCTTCGAGTCTGTTGAATTCATCAAAACAACCCCAGGCTCCGCATTTTACCAATCCTATAAAAATTCGGTTCATGGACTTGACGTCGATCCCCTGTAAATGCGCAATAGTATCGAACGTTTTGCTTCTTTTGTCCTCTGGCATTTACGATTATTATTAAACAGTAGTTGACTTACTTAGAAAAAAAGGCACTGGCAATTTTCGATAATTTTCCTACATGAATCGAGAGTAATTCTCAACATTTTTTGTGGATGCACTCCTTGCTTATATTCCTTATTCTAGAGGGCTCGGTCCTATAAACTACTTCGCTTTCCAAAGACCCTCCAGAAAATAGTTGATCGCTACGTTTGACGCGTTGATGATTGACATGATGACGAGCAATACATATATCTAAGCGGAGAAAATCGTATTAGTCCTATTAATTGGCCTACATAATAATGTTTTTTCTAACGAGGTTTGATTAAGGATCGTCGAAGCGGCTTATATGCCGACTGTTTTGGGGGACTACGAGACTTTTGAAAATATTCCCTGAAAGGCTTTTCGAAAAAAAAAGAAAAAACATCAAAATATCGAAAATACTTTTGCTATGAATTACGCCGCACATTTTGCCATTTTTCTTCGATTGTATTGCTAGAGTTCGGCAAGCTGAATAATGGTGCTATAATAAATAAAAACTGTATTTGAAAATTAAAATATCAGATTATTATTAATTAAAATAAGCGTTTTAAACTTCTTGAGTGAATCTCTAATAAATATCAACTCGAAGGCTATACGAGGTGTAACACGTATAAGATCTGTTCATTTTAGGGTAGGCTGATCAAAGAGCTGCTAAGCGCTTTGGCCTAGGACAAGATCGCGCGAAGTACCGACGAACCGAATATACGTCCGTTAGAGTAGAAAAGATTACGTAAATTACTGCAGTAAAGTGTGAGGTTAATTGTGCCACATATTTGAAACAGGAACACGGTAATAATATTTTTCTATTTTTCATAATGGCATAGCAGCATTAGTAGATGTCCAGAATGCAACGATGCCATGGCTACAATAACGACTCCCGATTAGATGATGGATATGAAATGTCTGACTTATACCATGTACGGTACATTAACGCTAACTTATCACGTCAGCTTTTAAAGAAAAAATGCTGGGAACACGGTAAGTGTTACTTCTAAGTACCGGATCACATAATTGAGCACAAACGTTTTCGCCTATAAGTTGAAGCTGTTTTCTTTTCGTTTGATCTTTTTGGTTGAGCTTAATAAGGCTGCCCTTGTTCAGTATTTGTATATACAAGGAATATATAGAAAAAATAATAAGTAACGGGCGAACAACTTACGGTTGTGTTTGTCCCGTAGACATGCTAACATAGAATCGGGATGGAGTTACAGAGATACACAGACACACTCGATGGATTTAGTCGGAAATTGTGAGTTAGAGATCCAACGCTAGTCAACTGTAGTTCCTATAATATTATACTTCACAATATGCTTGCAGCGCGCAGCGTTACGGCATCTTTGCTACAAATGTATTGTACAGTTGAATCTGCCCTTCGTTACATAGTTTGCTTATTTTTTAGTACTTCGATAATGCAAAAGTGAAGCCTCTGACAAAAGATCTTCGCTCCACCACGCATATGTATATAATTACCGGTTAGTTTTCAAGTTTGTGCAAATTTGCCCAATCGCCGTAAATCATTTTTTCGGATGTTATTTACCTGTTATCTGGTGGTATATTGTGACCAGCCAAAGCGCAAGTTTTTCGAGTTTGAGATACATGAGAGTAGGTCTCTGTGCCAAGCGTCCCATCCCTTCTTGCGCTTTTATACGTCACAGTCAACACCATACACGCACTACAGTTTGACCTTGGAACTACTTATGTATTTGCACCAAAGAAGAATTATACTACACCAAGTTTGAATCGGTGTTTTTTTCATTTTATGGGCTCTTGATTTAAAGCCGCCTCATCTCACCTCACCTTCCCCATACATATATACATACTTTCAAGTATTCTTATCTTTATATAAACACTTAGCAATTAAACTACCTGTTAGGGAGTCACGACTGAACGGGAACCAGTGCCTGGCTTAGGATATTCTAATTGGTCTACATGCCATTGTGCAAGAAATATGCTACAAGTACCCATAGGTACCTTTTGCGCTAATTTTGGGCCTGCTTCTACAAAAATGAACGCTCTCATAGGAACGAAGAACCTACCTCGTCACAGTTGAAGACCAGCGTTTGCCTTCCGAGGGCCGAACCCAGCGCTTTTACCGATTCCGTCTTTCCTGTTCCGGCTGGACCATAAGGATTGCCGCCCATTCCCATTTTCATACCTTGCATAAGTGCTAAGAAGCACTTATCGGTTAGTGGCGTTTGCACCAGCTTTGGCACATTCCCTTGATACTCGTACGTGTAGTCAAAGGCCGCGTCTAACATATGAACGCAAACTGAACGATTGTCCTCTTTCATGTAGAATCTCAGTTGCTTCTGCCAGCACCAGTCGCTTAACGCGGTAACGTTATGCTCGATAAGCTGTTCAACGACCTCCATATTGTGGGTGATGTCGAGCACAAGCGCTTTAAGCTTGAGGGAATTCACATGGTTTGTGAGGATTCCTAATCGAGATGTATGGGACGAAAGCTTCGTCGTCAACTTTGCACGGAACTTATCAAGCTGCTTCGATGCAATCGCTTTCTCGCAATCCCGAGTGAAGCACAACATTTCGAATAAGCAGAGTACCTAAGAGTAGGCGGTAGAAGCATTTTGTGATAGAGCATTGCATATGATTTTACCGTTATCTTACATAAGTGTAACAACAGGTACATTGAAACAACACAATTGAGGATACAAAGGCAAAACTTCAACAAATGCTTATAAAATAAATACGACGTGTTATATATACATAATTTTTTCTTTTTGTTTTTCCACGTGAACATTGCATATTTTATTTTTCCTCTACGTTCTCTACTCTAAGTTCAATGGCAGAGTACACGAAGAACAGGCGCACCTGCGACGGAAATTCATCGAGGCCAACTTCCTTGGCCTCGTGACAAAAGCATCGATAGGCCATATTCCGTAACGTGCTCTGCATTTCTTTGGCAAGTTGTGATAGCCATACCTCGACCTCTCGAACTACCCTTATCGGTTGCTCCAGCCGAACTGATTCGCCTTCCTGAGAAATAATGGCTTCGATTTGCAGACCACCTTCCCCTCCGTCGTTAAACTCTACCCGGTGAATACCTGTTGTTTTTAAAAAGTAAAATTTTCTATTAAATCGACACCGGTCAATACCTTATTTTTGCGCAGACGGCCACATTTATACTTCGGTTAAATTTTGGACTATTGGTGTATTTATACGTTAGACGTGATTAGTACTGAACTGATTGCAAAATCTAGCCATGTGTCTGTTACATGATCTGCATAGCCTACCAGAGAACAGCTTCTTAAGGTGCGACTGTATTATCTGCGGTCGTGTGGCTTGTCCAAGGATTTCGAGAAGGTCTTCATCGCCTAAAAAGTAGAATCGTGGAAACAAGGACCGCTTCACTTCGAGATACTGGTTTAGGGCCTTCTGTGAGCGATTTAGCTGGTCCAGCATATTGGTCAACGATTCTACCAATCCCATTTGATTTGTTAGAAGCGCTACCCGTGAATCGCGCTGAATTGTACGCATAAGGTTCCTGAATAAACATTTCAGATTTAGCAATCCATCAGCATATAGTAGCAATTGCATGGCTTATATTATTAAATTATAGTTGGACTCCTGACTGCGCAATCACCAAAAGGCCTTCATGGGTTTTATTCGATTCGTAATGAATGGTAGATATTTATTAACGTATCATCTATGTCGGTGAAAAAGCCAAGTAGAGGTAACGTAAAATATCCGTAATGTTTGCTGCATCGAGCGAACGAGTGGTCTTACTTGAATTCCTCGCTAATTGAATTGAACCTGGCGGATTCACTCGGAAGGGCCCCTTGGCCCAGAATTGGATCGAGATATGTCCATCGTCGTTGAACCTGTTAGTTTATTATAATGATTATTATTATAACGAACGTAGCGATGAAGTCCATGCTATGTGCAGTGTTTAAAAGGAAACTGTCCTATAATAGATTGCAGAATAAGGTCGCGCCTGAAGTCATCAAGTGACCAAGGTCATCTTGACTTCCACACGAACAATTGAATTCTTTTTTAACTGACCTGTTGCATAATGTAAAGGGCCGTGTCGAGTGTGGAGAGACGCTGGGCCCAGATATTAGCGCGGTCAGCAAAATTTGAGTAGAATATTGAGTCTTTCATGGCCTGAAGCAGGCATTGGTTGTCACCGATTTTCGAAGTCACCTCGGCCCAGTCACGGATTAGCACAAGCAGTTCTCCGCGGGAGTCCCGTTGTTCCACGAGTGTAAATTTGGCCGTATTTGACCACAAATCCAACTCGTTAAAAGCTTCCCGGATGGTCACCTCACCATGGGCACGATTGTTGAGGTCTGGCAGAATATCATAAAAGGTTCAATCTCAGAGTTATTTACTGTTCGTTCAGTTTATGGCCTGGTCGATTTTTTGTATCCTGACAATTGCAAATTTCCATCCGAAGAAACATAATTATACAGTTAAACAAATATTCATAGTGTAGCCTTGTATTTCTGATTTCTGAGCAAGACTGTAAGCAAGGAAAGGACTGATCTATGTGATGTTTTATGGCTTGACCGAACGTTAATACGCATTGCTTCAAATGGCTCTAGCACCAAAACTACAGAGCTTAATGTGCCCCTAAACATACAAAGGGGTCTGATCGGTTTACTCTAGGACAGCGTAAATGCTCTAATAATCAAACATGTTGGGTTTTCATCTATAAACGCTGGTATCAAGACCTAACCGACATTATTTCCGCAATGCCGCTTTATCAAGTGATTCAGTCAAATTCCAACAACGGTCTCCCCCTCCTAGACCGACTCAGCAAAATAATAAAAAATCGTTACTGCACTTCCTATACCTTATTAAAAAACTCGAATAACCTGAAAGTTTAACGATTGTCGATACCAAGGCGGTGGTATATATACGCAGATATATACAGATATAGGAGAGGTTCGATTGAGAAGAAATTAAGGCTCGGACGGTGTATGCACCATATGCCGTGTTCAGCGCTTTGTGTAATGAAGTGCTGTTACCGGATGTGGAAAGTTACCTTAATCATCCCGGAGACACCCTTTGCAGGATAAGTAAATAAAAATTTCGCTGCCCCCAATGATGTACATGTGTGATACATGACACAGGTCATGTTTCACTAGAAAAGCGTTCACCTCGTACTGTGCTAGATTCTAGCGTTGCCTACTCTAACCCAAATAGCCTACTCTAACTTTACTCGGCCTGAGTACGCTCGCGGTGGTCCGACCACTGGCCGCAGAACATAATTTCCACAAAGGTCGACTTAGTCTGCAGGACTCAGATGACCAAATTCGTTTTTGGAAGAATTGTACGACGGATATTGACGACCACACGATGTAATCATGAGTCCAAGGACAGCGCGACATAACAATTCGAGCGATCCGCATCGTGTTAGTAACTCAGTATATCCTTTTATGTAGCCTGCTTGCCTCCCTATGAGGGTTTGTCACAACACCTTTACTGGCGATACGGATGGGGCCGTCTCTCGTCTGCCAATAACATAAGCGACTATGTTCTAAAATATCGGCCTAGTTTCGAGTCGCTTTCCGCCTATACGCGATGAGAAATAGAAGCATGCCTACCGTGATGCTTTAGTCTATAGTTATTGTTGGCCTGTATATTACCTTCTGGTAATATTCTTAATGGAGCTTCACTTTGCAGTTTCGTAACAACCACTGTAACTTTCAGAACGTAACGACATGCATACGCTGAGTCAGTTTGGTACGTTTTCAAAAAATAACATGACGCCAAGTATTTGTAAGCACTCGCTCGTAAGTCTATCAGTATAGAGTGAAGTTCACTTTCAAACTAGTCCTTAGTTCTGTCGCTGCTAAAGGCATAGGCTTTTTTTTTTATTTAAACAGTGCACAGTAATATAGCCTGACCCGCCGCCGCATATATATTTTTGTCTCAAAAGCCCCGGAAGTTTTCACAACAGGTCTACTTGCAGCCCCTCACTCAGCAATCAGTGTTAACAAGGCACCTGTACAGCTCTACTTGCCTGAAAATATAATCCAGTTTTAGTCAAATCAACTGTTGGCTAACGTAATATAAAGTTATAATGTAATGAGTCATCACCAAGCCAACTTATAGGTCTAAGTTTGTGGACGTAAGTGAGGAAACGTTGTACAGACAAACATAGAAACTCTTCCTTATAGCAGAAATGTATGAAGTGTTTCCTTGCACTTCGGTCTGTAGCGGATCTGGTGACCCTGAGGCAGGGTCGTACATCCTAACAAGATCCGACCTGAACAAAATGAACGATGAATGCAATATGACCGGAGTACATTCCGGTTAGAAGCAACGCTTCACGTCCGGCTTTCGTCCTAGTCCCTTCAAATGCTAGTCCGCTTTGTGCTATTATGATTATGACTTTCCTAGGCCTACTGCTCTATCAACTCGAAAGTTAGATGCGGTAATCGGTAACAGTGACTATAACGTAGAATAGCAATAGGATACGGTTCAGGAATGATTTGAGAAAATTCATTTTAGTTTTGTACGGCTATTGCTTATTTCCTGGCTTTTGGGGCACACCTCGACACGGCCGCTTATTAAAATGTATCTCGGGTGTAGTGTACTTTAAGTGAAAATTGTATAGGGCAATCGATAGAAAGCGTACTTGCCGCAGACGACACAAGGTCGACTATGCACTATACAATGTGTATACTAATGTGAAGCCGTTCGGATGCAACGATAAGTTGAATACACTCTTACGCTAATTGTTTTTGCAGATCGCCAGCGGCTACGGCTCATGGCGTTCTAGGAATTTTCTTTGCAAAGATACTTGAACTTGCCAAGAATGGACCTAAAAAGAACCTACCAAAGACCGACCTATATTTGTACTTGGTTGAAGTGAGTTAAACTTTTTTCCTAGACTAATGGCTGACGCGAGAAGGTTCACGACTTAGAAACTTCTTTAATAATAAAGCTTTTTTTTTTTTGTCTCTAGTATATAGAACAAGTTGTTATTTTTCAAAGGGGCACAGCATGTTAATATCTCAAGCAAATGAGCTAGTTAGATGGAATATAAGTACTTAATCTCAAACTATGTAGCTAGCGAAAATATAGGCAACGTCAGCTTGCGGTAACAAGCAGTTAGTCCAGACATTTTTATCTTAAATTGTAGCTCGTAATTTACAGAAATCGCTACTTCAGAACTGGTTCAGCCTTTAACGGTAATGCCCTCACCGTCCATCCATTTGACCCTACATTCGAAACTAACCAATTCAGTTAATTCCTGAGCGAGCTCATTTTATACGTTGTTTATTAATATACCATAATAATATATAAATGGCACAAGCAAATTCTGAGTTTTATAAAAATATTTACATTATTATCACACATTTATATATACTGTACTAAAGGCTTCTGTTAACGTGGTACTATATATAAATCTATGCTTTTGACAGACTGCTAAAAAACTGAAAAAAATGCTATTAACCAAAAAGTATGAGATGATTTCTAACGAGCTGACGTAGGTGAGGTATTTGGATGGAGAGTTTCAAATAAGGAGTTCTATGCAACTGTTATTTGTAGTTTTACGTCGACAATATCGCGTAATGTCTGCTCGAGACCAGAAAGGGTACACAAAGGACTCGACTGGTCAAATATACAAAAATGGCCTTTTTCGGTCCTTACAACGTCACAGGGAGAGTTTCGTTCTACGAGTCAAAAAGACTGTCCCGGGGGCTGAATTGGGTCAGGAGAGCTACTATTACATGCAAAGTGCGATTTTATAGAACATCTTGTCTCTCGCTGCGGAAAGCATGGCTTGCATCCCAAATCACCATGGGACAAAATTATTGCCTATGTCAAAAAATATCTGTCATAGTAAACTGACCGACAATCAACGATATGTATCAAACGAGCTAGGAACAAAGTTAAATTATTTAAACGCGTAACTGTCAGGATAATTGAGCTTCATTATACAACAAGAATGGACAACAGTGTACAATAGATCGAACAACACTGTACAAATGAGCATTTATGCTGCTCATTCGGTACGTGTGTCTTCATCGCTATAGTGTAAAAATCCGTGTAGAGGCTATCTGAGGATACACGAGGGATTATAACTTGGAAACGTTTAGCTAGCATTGCGCCTCCTAAAGAGCAGTATAAAGCTTCATTTTCAGATGAAGCAGGGCTTTAGAATCGTTCGCATTGTCGAGGTCTTTCTCTCTGGCATGTTATCCACTACTAACAGCGCCCGATAGGACATCGTATCTTTCATCGAGCAACTGCATGACAAATAGGGCCTGTTTCGCTGAATGTCAGAAAGAATCAATGAATTAGTGGTCCCAGATTCAAATTCGAGTGAAGATTTCTCATGAGATTATCGACTGAAGGTGATATTGCATCAAACATTACGCCAGCGCTGGCTACCTATGTACGTAAATTATTTCACGATTGTGGTTAACTCTATACTGTTCAACAGTATAACATAACTACGATGAATTTAACTTGACATAGTTAAAACTAACTTATTTATTCGGCTGTGTGAGTTCGTACAGTTAGTCCGTATTTATTAATCGAAACAATTTAATTCTTTAAATTAATTCATGCTACTAATGATGCAAACGAGTCATTTACGTAAAAGTTTATCAAAATTGAGCCTACCCAGTTAAGTATTAAGGACAGTCGTCTTATACACAAGAAGGTCCATTCTAACGTATTGGCCTCATAAAAATCACATTTTTTTCCTTTGCGCTGCTGTTACCTAAACGTTTCTGAAATTATAAAATTTGGCTTTCTCAGAAAGAAATGCCTTACGGTTCTCTCAAATATTTATTGATATTTGGATTTTCTTTTCACTTCGATTTACCGTGTCCGTCTGTTTAGATACAATCTACCTAAGCGATGGTGCAAAATATATCGGCCCCTACGGCGCACGACAACGTTCAGCTCTAAATCCGTATATGTATGGTAAATGTGTATTACATATAGGAAGCTGGGTGTCACTGATGACTGAACAGATTTTGATTATTGAAGATAAAAGCTGAGCATTGAAATTTTTATCTTTTTGTTATATAGAAACATACCTTTGAGTTGATCCGCGTTATTCAGCAAAGCTGCCTTTGCTTGTAGGAAATCTCTAAATAGCAGTTTGTCGACGGTTTTCACTGGAATCTGAGTGAGATTGAACAGATCTGCCCAATGTTGCGCTGAAAACTCTTCGCCTTTACAGAACTTGAGGACAATGAGCATCTCTCTGTAAGAATCAATCTGAGCGAATAATGGATCAGCGACGGCACTTTCCTCGATATCCTTCAGACGACGACTCCAATCGTCTAATAAACTCTCGAAACGATGTAGACGGCCCCTACGATGTCACACCAAATAGTTGATATACTGATGCTATATCTTGAAGTTCTTACAATTATTAGATAGCTGTATTGTATCTCTAGAAAAATAAACGTTGCATTGACTAGGCTCAATCCTTAATGTAATTCGTATAGCATCATTAGATTCGTGTTTCGTAGAATCATGCACAGACTTATGATACTGATTCGTACTAACCTGACCACAACCCACTCCTCGTCGGCCACCTTATTAATATCGTTTTCAAATTCTTCGAACATCAGCCATACTTTTTCTTCATCATCAAATGCCCTTGCCATTGCTTCTAACTCGACAATATCGGGCGGTTTCAGACCGAAGTGCACAGTTTCGTCCCTGAAAATAGGCAGGTGGATCAAGTAGTAACGTATCAGTGGTGGGATCATTTAATGGCAATCCTTCTCTATACACGTGGTAGCTCATAATGAGGATGAGTGATAAAACATAAGGCACTCACATGAGCTCTGTTTTAGTTTTTAGCAGGGCATTAAGCTCCAGCCGAAACTCTTTAAGAAGCTGTGCGGTTTGTCCAGGATTGTCCTGCTTCTTTGGTCGACTGTTTTTCCAACGTTGTCCAAATCGAATGACATCACTGTCAAAATTATGCATCTTTGTTAGGACGTTAGCCCTTAGAATTTCGGTCTGTTCCTTCACGCTGACCTCGAAATCTTCTAGCAGGCGATCCAGAGTATCCCACTGAGCGTTTAGTTGGCTCAGTTCCTTAACGCTTTTACGGCTCCAACGGCCGAGGATCTCGTTTTTTACCTCGTTCTGCTCGTAGACACTACGAAGCTGTAAAGTTATACCATTTGTATAAAAGCAATTGGAGCTTTATAAGTAAGCGACGGAAATTTCTTATATATATATATATATATATATATATATATTACACATATGTTGCACATGCATATGCATGTGGCAAGGCCATCAATCTAAAAGGACTCAATGGTAGGTATTGTCGTTTGGCTCAAGCAATGGTCCGGTTAAAAAACTGTATTATTATGCTTTGATAATACTCATACTAAATATTGGATCAATGTGGTATTGTGACACGTCTATATATACATATATAGATTATACTTTAGTACTACATTAAGGGTTTCGTTATCAGGAACGTCCAAGAGGCAGAGGGAAGGACATATTTGTGACCATCGTTACCTTCACATTCAAATTTTTCCTCTAACCTCAGATTTAGTCAATTTGATTTCTTCAAACTTTATGATTGATTCGGTCATTTCCTCAACCGTTTGCGACCTTCTGAGTAAAGCGCTTGTTGACTCCTGGATAAACACTTGTATTCTGGATGCATCCTGCGATATGGTTCTCTGCAGAACTCGAACCAAAGTGCTGTTAATTTCTGACAGCAGGTAATCAATGTACGACTTGATCGGAGCATAACTCACAGTTATGCAATCGAACTTTTCCTCTTCACTGAAAGGCACCAATGGTTCACCATTAACTTGCAGTTTTTTTTAATTGAATTGGAAGTTCTTATAGGCTAGCCAAAGTTCACTATTAGCATATTAAAGACATACCGCGCATGTTTAATGCGCCTTTCACCAGTTCATTATAGCAATCATGTATTAAACACTTAAGTTTAGAAGTACCCTCTGAAGAAGACCTTCCCAAATTGGTAGATTTAGGACAACAGACTTTTACATTCAACGTCGGCTAGAATAGGGTTGTCCTGTATAAGGAAACACTTCGGCTTAAAACTCACTAAGCAAGTTTGTAAGTCTTACAGAGGATGAACCTAACTCGAACGCTTCAGCTACGTCATATACATATCACTGCTGGTAAACTCCGACTGTCCAATAGTCGTTTTTCGTCTATCTAAAAGTCAACTTAGGGATGGATTTAACGGAAGTAGCATGCATTTACCCCAGAGCTTATCTAAAATTACTACGCGAATTTATGTTAAATATGAGCTTTATGGTACGCTAACAAATACACCACTCATACGTATTTTGCCAGTCTTCGATTAAAAAAAAAGCGAAATCTGCATTTGTTCTTACATGTTCATTTTGACAAATTCCTGACTCTTAATTTTCACCATCTTTAGGTTCAATCGCCACTCATCGGGGGTCTTGCAGAAGTCTTGAACAACGGCATCTAAATCAATTCCACCAAACGCTACCCAGCTCTCAAAGCGGTCCCGTGTTCTCTCTACCTGCTCGAGTACCTGGCTAGCATCAGCATAAAGCTGATTTATTTTTACCTAGAAAATAAAGAAAAGTGTATAGACATATTGCACCAGCTCCACGCTGTCCTTAAACATGTACTTCTCAAATATATGATATATAAATGATGAGAGAGTTTTTCGTAGTAAACACGAACCTCATTACATTAACCCTTACTGAGATAACTAGCATTTAATTAACTACACATATTAAACGATATCTATTTTATCCGTTGAGCGTGAACTTCTTGCCACTGCTGTCCTGGTCGCCATTTCCCATAAGACCCTAGACTGCTAGATTCTGTGCGGTCTACCTTGATTAGAGTATTTGGTTTCCTTTCACATCCCATCGAAACAGATTTCATTGCTATTGAATATATTTCTATTTAGGAACTTCGGAGTGAAGCCTAGAACCTTTGTTTTGCGCTGCAGAAAAAATAATTAGTTAAGTTTGTCTGCAGAGGCCCGTTCCTGCTCCGAAACAATTTTATGGCCGTAACCCCGTGTAGGTGAATTTGGCTAACTGTAAAGGTATCTCTTTTTGCCTTTGAAAGCGGTTGTAGACTTCTGAAGACAATTCTATTCCTAGAGGTCCTGAACACTTTAGCAATTAGATTAGGCCCAAAAACAGACTTCTATAGGAACGTGATTCCTGTCAATATGTAAGTTTGTTTTCTACTGCGTCTGGGTCAAGACAACAAGTTTAACGCCAGAAAAAAATAGTAAATTGGGAACGTATGGTATTGAATCGAAGGTTCAAGGATATTTGGATTCAATCAAATACCCAGCTACGTTCAATCATTGCGATGTTTCTTTTGTGAGACTTCCTACTGCATAAATGCCGCCTTTAACAGATTTTAAAATGTATGTGGTTGAACCACCATATTTGGTTTGTCGATAACGTTGGCTGCGTGCTTGGCACTATTTTTTCCCATGATAGAAAAAAAAAACCCATCAAATACATTTAATTTTGCTATTATATATTCATACAGCATGTTTTTCGATGATTGATGCGAAGGCAAGCGTTCCTTCGTTGGTGTTTGAAACTCCTTTGAAGTGGTGAGGTATTGAAAGAAACCTCTTGATCTGCAGAAAGTACTTAGCGCGAACCTCCTCAAGTGGCGGTCGGAAAGCGATTCCTCCATTTCTGAAAAGAAGTCAAAAAGTAAACATATTCATTGATTTGCAGTGCTCGAGGAAACAAACAAGCGAGCTCGAGTGAAGGCTCGCCGCATGTACGTAGAAAGAGTCGAAGCTCTTTTGTTCTCTTACTAGTATACTGATGAACTGTGGAGAAGCAGCTAGCCGTAACCGATCTTCCGTTTTCATTGAGTTTGAATATTGCATTGTGTAAAGCAATGGACATCTTTGACGTTGAGGATCGTTTATATTTACTTGTGCCTGCTTCATAGAATGATCTCCATTATTATTCTTATCAATGCGCCATACTAGATTTGAGTGGTGTTATTAGTGCGGTTTCAGAGTTCCCCAACTAGCGCTATTACGTCCTTTCCCGCTGTAACGGGCAGCGAGCCAAATTATTTTTTACTATAAACTCGATTTGATGTTTTCTGCAACAAACCATATTGCCGCCATTATTGACCTTATCGCATTATATTGAAGCTGCTTATGTTGAGGCCTATTTCGAAAGTAGTTAGAGGATAACTGGTCAAATGTTCAATCAGAATTTATACTAGAATCGATATGGAAACAACAAGGTCCACAGGCCCAAACGTTTACCGACAAATTCAGGTTCAAACAAATGTTACGACGGATGCCAATAAAATACGTAGATCCAAATTCGTCATTTTTATAAAATCGTCTCACTGTAGGAAAGAAATAAACACGTCTCCTTGATGTATTCATGTAAAAATTGAGCCCTCGTAGTTAACTGGCCATAGGCACAAACAACACCAGGAAAACGTGGACATAGTCCTATTTGAGAAGGCGTTACGAGAAAACAATAGTACATAAAATGACATTTTCTAAGTTACAATCTCATAAA